TGTTGTCGCTGTAAAAAAGGCACTGTATCAACCTTTTTTTCCCACTTCTGCTTCTGCCAAATCACAGGATCATTCTTTTTGCGCTGTAATGTCTTCCTGATGTATTGTTAGCAGGAAGTCCTTACAACAGCCCTTACAATGTGCAGTGATGTGAAAGCATTTTTTGTCCTTCTGATCTGAATCATAGGCACCCCCTACTCAACAACCACTCAGACAAACAAATAGACGATTTCATTGCTTGGGTGTAAGTACTGGCCTATTTGGTTGAATAAATATTGGTTCTAAAGGTAAAATATTCTATATGGCACTCTATATAAGAGATAAAATAGAAATCACTTTATTGGCCATATACAATTTATTGTATTAGGAATTTGTCTTTTCACATACCCCAGCTTGCTCTCCATGAGACACACAGACAGGGAGAGAAGCTTGGGGTCAGAGCGCAGGGTCAGCCATTGTACAGCACCCCTGGAGCAGTTAAAGTTAAGGGGCTCGGGGGGGCTCAGGGGCCCCAACGGAGTAGGATTCCTCTGCTGGCTGCGGGATTTGAACCGGCAACCTTCCAGTCACAGGCGCAGATCCTGAGCAACAGAGCCACCACACCGTCACTATATAAATATTTCACATTTTAAGATGCTTCCAGGCTGGAGATACATTGACTATATTTGTAATGCCCTTTTGTGATGAGTCATCCTCTGAGATATAATAAAGCCTTGAACTGATTGAATTGAAAGGTAAGATTTTTTGGTATTTAGCCTGTATCAGTTAAAAGCATGTTCTTAAAAGAACACAAACCTTGTAAACAGGTTTACATTTCTTTTCACTGTAAACTTTGAATTGAGGTATCTCATTAAAGAAGAGCTATATACTGTATAAATTAAACTTTTGGTTCATACTTTCTCATTGTTACAGGGAAATGCAACTATTGTTCATCTTGTAAGTAACTCCAATAGAGAAATTCTGTGCAATCTCAGCCAAAAAATCTCAGCCTTCAGCTTTTAGGGTGAATCATTTAGTCTTCGCTACAGGGCATTAAAAATGGCTCAAGTCAAAAAGGCTCCTTTCACTACATTTCATTGTGGCTTAAGTGCCATTCTGTGGCTTAAAACTATCCATCATTTGCTGACTTTACCCTCTGATTTTGACAGGGGGCTAATGAAGGTTGTTGTTGATTCTGTAATGTGTCCTGTAGCTCCAGAAGTCAAATACTCTTTCTTTAATGGCAGCTGTAAAAACTACAAATCAGAAAATGGAACCCAAAGCTTATTTTCAGTGGTTCAACAATAATTTCATAGTTTATATATGTGTAGTATCACTGTGCATAATGCACACCTTGTGCACTAATATGCTTTGAGACAAGATGGAATTTTAAAATTGCCTTTAAGTTGAAAGACCTTATTGTATAGCATTAGGCATCATGCCTTTGCAGAGATGAACATCGGTGAATGATGCCTATGTGCTGTCAAAGTGCAATGATTATTTGCTGTTCACCTATTCCTGCCAAACATCTAACTGTGAAGTTAATGGATAAATGTTACTGATTAGTTTAAAAGCATCATTTTGGGTCATGTGTTAGAGTTACAATGTCCAGTTCTGTTATTGTAGAAAAAACATAACATCTGAAATCTTAAAATTTACAAAAGTGTTATATGTTCATTTTTTCAGTTACAGTATATCTCTGCAGAGTTATTAATGCTGCATTTCAATAATAAAAAGACTCCCTTTTGTTACTCATTGGCAAAAATAGTAACAGGTGATCATTATTGCACATGCACTGTACACGCCATGAAGCATCAGTTGTCATGTCAGCAAAGGCATAATGCTGAATTTACACATGGCCCCAGGCAGTTCTAAAATCTTGTCCTGTCTCAGAAGTATTCTGGTGCTTACCAAGTCATATTAACATTTTATAGATAAGGTGTTATGCAATTGGCAACATTGTACCTCATTAGTCCCCATTTTAACCAGTAATAAACTGTTTTTCTATAGAATAGAAATAAAGTTTCCTTTGAATCTGCTATTCAGTGACTCCCAGGTTTTATGTGATGTAGTCGGACATAATCATTGTTGCCCTAATAGCCTTGTTCTCATGATATTATGTATCATTATTTAACAACTTATTTCTTTTCTTATTCCTTTGTATCTGACTAATGTTCATGTAAGTACCGCACCAGTTAAGAGGTCCAAATGATTGTTGTTCAACTTAACCAAGACAAGAAATAACCACGGACTTCTTGGGCTTCTGTCTGCTAGGCTTGTAGTGTGAGAGATGGATCACTCCCCCTCTCTCTGTTCTGTAGAACAGTGGGACTCAAGTGGGACCTTGTGTTACTGATGATTTATTTGGTATTGCAAATTTTATTTGTCATTCAAAGCAATATATTTTCATGCATTCAAATATCTGGGTATTTTACTGGAAAGATCCAGGTGAGGTACCTTGCTCAAAGCTACAGTACAAGAGTGGTGTGTCACCTGGATTCGAACCCACAACCTTCACGTTACAAGTCCACATTGCTGCCCTGCTACAGTACCTTGTGCTGAGTCAGTATGCCACTTTGGAGGGTATTAAAAAGTAATTGTGCATTTTAAATAAATAAAGAATGCACAAAAAGGGGATTTATGATTTTAATTGAAAAGCACGTCTAATGCCAATTTAACATCCAGTTTAGTATTTGTCTGGTATTTTCTATTAAAGACCGAATGGAAAGTTAGAAGAACATTATGAAGAGGATTCTTTCTGTAATTAAAATATAAATGGCTTAGTCCTCAGATGTCAAAGCTGCCTTTTCTAGCAAAATAAGTAGCTTAGTCATGGATGTGCTCAGGTATGCACATTGTTTTGCTCGGCAAAAACATTAGAGCAAGCGCAGGCAACACACGGCATACAGTCAAACATGGGTTTGCTGTGTGTAATTATGCAATTAACATTTCTTTCTTTATACCAGATGAGAAAGTTGTATGTTTTGCTTGTAAAACAGCAGTGAAGTTGCCAAATATATGTGTATGCATATACTGTATGTGGGATTAGAAAGGAAACTTCTTTCAGGTTTGAGAACTACACTGAGCCATTTTACTCAAATATCCTAAAGCTTGTCATTATTTGTGATCTCAGTTCTATTCTATATTAGAACTATATTAATTATTGACTAAAATACTAAAGGGAAATTCTGAGTGTTCTACAGTACTATTGGATAGACTCAGCAGAAAAAAAATCTGTTAAACTAGTGAACAGTAACATAATTACTGTGGGAGCGAGAGAATTTTGTTAAATCCTGGTTCAAGATGGTTTCACAGAGGCAGTTGGCAATAAAACCCTTATTTTTCTCAACCTCCTGACGTGTGCCATTAAAATATTTCTGGATGAAGAAGCTTAATGATCCAGGATTCATTTTGAAGTTGTTTCACTCAAATGTCAATACGGTAAAATATGGTCTAGTAATTATCATGCCAATGGATCTTGCAGCTTTTCACAAGACAGTGCTCACCTGGCATGCGGAGAAGTATCAGTGTACTCGCAGCAAAAGCATTCATTCTCTTCAACCACTTTCTGCATCTTAAAAAGCACAGCCTTCTCCCCTTTTCAGAAACAGATTATGCTAACATCCCTAGCTGTCTTCAGTAATGCTGCAAGCGCACATCTGGAAGAGAAGAAAAGCTATCCACTCCACTGGTGCAAGACCAGGCACATTTAAAACGCCAGTTTAACCTGTGGTGCAGAAAAACAACTTATTGTCTTGTTAACGTAATGCATTTGCAGAAGCTCCCAACAGCGAGCAGCATTGAACACTGTAGGCTAATTGAGTTAGGTTAGTAAATCTGCCTCCCCTGTTGTTCATGAATCTTTTAATAGGTGCTGTATCTGCCATGCGTATCAAGCTTGCCGCAGTTCTCCGTATGGACTCATACTGAAGAACAGTACCTTGTTTTAGCATTAACCAGCACAGCAGACTGTGTGTATCAGTCAATAATTCAGGATGTGATAACCACAAAAATATTTATTCTGGGACATACTATAAACAAGCTGCAGCAATCTGTTTGTAACAGAATAGTAGCCTCTGTTCAGAGCAGTTTTAACAGCACCTTCTTTGTTTGACAGAGCTGTAAATGTCGGGTTTACCATCTAACACGCAAGTTGCAGTGATTTCTTTTTCTCCACAAAGATTACAGTGTCTCAGAGACCCTGTGAAATAATCTGCAGAGTAGGGTGATGAGCGAGGGTTTTGAGTTTATCTTTTTTAACATTAACTTTTTAAATACAGTGACATGGAAGATTACCAATAATTGGTCACGTAATTGAGAAAAGGTCTGTCTTTACTGTAATTAATTTGCCTCACTTGTTACATTTAAAGTCTAATACTGAATTTGTAACTAAATTTATCACTTTTCAGCTTTAGTTCAGTCAATTTTAATTGCATGAGTAATGCATTTCACTTTTTTTACATTAAAACACCTTCTTCTGTTCTGGGGTGAATGCATATTCATAGTTTGAGCTGTGAAGGTGAGAAGAGGCTGTTTCGATACTGTACGTGTGCCTGTGCTGATCCCTTGCGCTACAAGGGAACAGTCTCAGACATCCTGGGTTTATGGATCATTCTGAGAAGTGCGTTCCAGTAGGTCACTCGGAAGGATACGCCTTGATCGGCCCACAGCTGCCTGACTCCAGCAGCAGGTCGGCAGGACGAGGAGGCAGGGGCCAGTCTCCTCGGACAAGTCCTGGAAAAGACTTTAATCTGAACCACAGGCTAGACATCTTTGACTTGCTGAGAGGATCCAGCTCAGTCAAGTGTGAGAGGAATTGAGGTTCCTCATTGTTGCTTGTGGATTTGCATGCTGTATAGATTTTTTACGTATGTTTGTTTGTTTGTTTGTTTGGGTTTTTTTGCAGTTTTTTTCCCACTTCCAGGATGTACTGTATTGTGCTGATAATGCAGTGCCAGTCTAACTGCTGTCTGTTGTTACAGAGAGTGTGAGCTAACTGCAGTGATTTGTATACCCCTCAGACCTGCTCAATGGGGCCCAGGAGACCTGCGAACTCCCTCCTATGGACGGCTTCCCTCATTGTGAGGGCAAGTTGAAGGTACGTAGTTAAAAAACAGGACCAACAAAAAAAAGAAAAGGCCAGCAGGCTGAGGCTCATCTGTGCCGAGGGCAGACTGTGTTTATATATCGATCAGGCCACACTCTAGTCTGCAGCTCTCTCGTTTTAAATTAGCGGGTGCTTAGGTTCATTCACAAAGATAAAGGTCTAAAAACAATTTGGCCAAACGCTGATCGATACAGGTACTAAGAAAATAAAAGTAACACAAAGCATGTGTTCAAAGCATAATGGGCAATTTCATATCAATTCAACATTTTTGTCATTTGTTTTGTTCTTTAAACAATAATTATTTTTGTAACATGGTAAAAAAGTTACTTTCCCTTTAGTCATATTTCAGGTTTTCCTGGTTTGGGCGGTATTTATGAACCGGTTGCTGTTTTAGTTACGCTGGTACTTCCCGAGTTGTGTTTGCATTTTGAGCACTTTGGCCAGTGTTGATGATAATTACAGTTTCAGGCGCAGCCTAAACAATACAGTCCACCTCTTTAAATGACCACTGCAGACATTCTTCTTCACAGACCAGCCATTTCCCTAGCATTGCAAACTTCAAAGTAGAAAAAATTACAAGTGCAGTCCTGTGCTGTTTCTCCACTGTTACCAGCTTGACTAGAGCTCAGAGCTGTTTTAAAGTCACTGTCTTTGTTCTGGAACTGTGAAGATCTCATTCACAATTCTGTATTGTACAGTGCGCCCGGGGGACTGGACAAATTATTTCCATTTGTACTTTCACATGCTAAAACCTCTAGTTGTTGAGGCTGTATATTTTAAAGAGATTCTTAAGCTGGAAGGATGGGGAATAGGGCCATCTAAATATAATACAATACAGTGCCGTGACACACTTATTTCTAACAGGAGCAGAAAATCCTGGAGCTATCAAGAGATCTTCAGCTGTTTTGTAACCTGTAAGAATTCAAATCCCAAAGTAGACAGGTTTTCTTTTTTCTCCATTTTCTGAAGAGAGATCCTTCTCCTAAAGAGAAGTTTCTTTGGCTTGTATTTCGGTTTGTTGTGTCCAGATCCCCTCTGTTTAGTTCTGAGGAAAGTTAGTAAGCTGTGTGATGCAGATAAGCAATTGCACAAATAGTTATTTGCATACTGTTGATCAACTTGGGACAGATTTTACAATGCACTAAAATCATTCATGAGTTATTTTTTACTGTTGTGAAAGTGTAATGGTGAATCATTTTCTTATTAATATTATTTATATTTGTATTTGCGTAGCAGGCAAATGCCTTAACCCAGGGCAGCTTACAGCATACAGAGAGCTTGTAGTATGTGCAAGTACAACTAAACCCAAAAAATTATAAAGTAATGATTTCCTGGCAGGACAAAGTTAAATAGAACTAAGCTGTAACAGTTTAAATACAAAGCGGTGATGTAGGAACTTTGTATTTATTGTGTTCACAGTAGAAAAGAGCAATTGGCAAATGATCATTTAAGAGTTTTAAGAGTTACTGAAGGATGTAGCCGATGATCGCTGGTGCTATCTAAACAAAAGAGCCTTGAACAGGGTGCCAAAGGGTGTTCAGGGCGGTCAGCAGCTCCGATTACTGTAGGTAGGTCATTCCACTGCTGAGGGGAGTTTGTGGAGAAAGAACAGGCTGTGGGATTGCGAGAATAGAGAGCCGGACGCCTAGTGGAAGAGCAGGAGCACAGAGAGCAAGATGAGCTTGGGAGGGTCCTTAAGACTAGCAGGAGAAAGCCGCCGAAACAGCAGCTGGCACGAACAAGATGCTCTCCACCACAGGGAGCCGGCGGAGAGAACAGAGGGAACAGAGGGATGTAAAGCAGCACAAGAAATTGGAGGAGGACAAAGGCGGAGCAGGAGTCTGGATGGGTTAGATAGACAAATAGCGTTGGAAGGGAGGTTCTCCAAGTGGGAGATATACTAGTCTTTGCCGGAGAGTACCAGGGCCTGCACTAGGAGTTATGTGCAAGAGCTGGTGAGGAAGGAGTGGATTCAGTGAATACTGCTCAGGATGAAGTGTCTGGAAAACTCTGGAGAAATTGTGTGCTGGGGAGAGAGAGCTCCAGAGTGGCACTGGGCTGCTTGACAGAGGATGGGACAGGGTGGTGGAGTCGAGAGATAGAGAAGGAGGAGAGATAGAAAAGCAGTTTGGGTCTTAGAGTGCATGCGGGAGATGGCTGAGAGAAAGCTGATGTACTGTATGGCAGGGGACATGGGTGTGAGACAGAGGAGAGGAGATGAAGATTTCAGCATCATCAGCCTAGAAAATAAATAAAAATCTCTCTGAGGAGATAGAAGGTACCAGGGAGAAGCTGTGGAGAGAGAAGAACATAGGACCCAGGAAATAGTCCTGAAGGAAACCAGGGGACAGAGCATCAGTAGCAGAGATCAAGTCTTACTAGGAGTTATTGTCGGAGTGATCAGTGAAGCTTGAGAAGAATCCTGGTGTGCTCAGTGCCAGGACTCCCAAGCTGAGTGAGTGTTGATAGGACAACAGAGGGATCCACAGTGTCAGAGATGGAGGAGAAAGGGAAATGATGAGGGATTGAGACAGAAGAAAGGAAGGCAGCACTATCTGACAGCGAAGGAGCATCTTAAAACATTAAAACCCTTTCTGGTCACATCTCCTTTTAATAGATGTTGCGCAACCCAAGTGTTTCCTGATAAAGTCTGTTTTTGTCTCCAGCTGACTGTCAGATGGAGGGGTGTAAATACAAGTGATGTGTCGGGAGCACGTGACACAAAAATTGCTGAATTTGTGTTTTTTATTTTGCTTACAAATCTGGAGGGAAAAAAATCCAGAATGCCAGGACATTGATTTGACTTTCACTTCTGTACACTTCTATATTATATACACCGCAGTGCGAGATCATGGAAAACATTATAGCTTTTTATACTGTTAAGTACTCCTGGGCATACTTGAGTTAAATGCCAATCCATAGTACATCATCATTAAAAAAAGCATTCTATTTTAAAGATGAGTTTTTTTGTGGCTTTGTTTTTCTTGCTTCCAAAATGTGTTTTTTTTTTCTGATTAGCTTTGGCAAGAGTTGAAGGTAGTTGCTCATAATTAATGGATGTGCTTTGTCCATAATGCAGTGGATGAAGGATATGTGGCGGTCGGACCCTTGCTACGCCAGCTATGGTGTGGATGGTTCCCTGTGCTCCTTCTTCATTTACCTCAGTGAGGTGAGTGAAGCCCACCATCTCTGTTGTCTGTCCAAAAATGAGCACGGAGGCCGCGATTAATCAAAGTGTTTACTTCACCGTCACGTGCATTATTCATATGTTGCGACATGAAATGCATGAAGTCTGTCAATTCCATCGCATACGTAAATGAAAAAATACGACGTTAATATTAATCTTCAGACACCCGTTTAGCTGCATGTACAGGGAGTGGAACGGTGCCATTAAGAAAACCGCGGGCCGCAAGTGTGAGCGTAAGCTCGTGTTTTTCTCTGAAAGCATCCAGACCTGGTACCTAAAGTACATAAATGCAAAATCCATCATTACCAGCTTGTGAATTTGAAACATTTCCTCCAGCCACAGAAAGGAAGCAGGAAAAAAAAAATCTTCAGTTGTGGTTCAGTTTGCTTGTGCACTCCCTCTGGAAGTGTCGTGTCACTGTACATATATTTTCATTTCTGAGTTTCTCATGCAGCTCTATATATCATTCATATTTGTTGAACATGCCATTGACCCCAGGCAGGAACTGGGTTAACAAGCTGAACGTACTTAATCTCCTGATTAATGCCCAGGAGCAAAGGCTGAATGCGTAAAATGAGTGAATAGTTGCACAAGATGAAGTGTTAATAACTAGGATTTATGAGTTGTGTGTTAGCTGCCAAAGACAAGTTGAAAACGCCGCTTCGGAGAGAAATGTGTTACAGTGGGCAAAAGCTGACCCATGAGGATGTGGCCAGTGTGACCAATGAAATGACAGATGAAACGTGTTCACACCTTTGTTCTTTGTATTTGTATTTAGAATGAAAACAGTTAGTACTCGGAAAGGGAGGTCCTCCTGCCTGCAGAGGAAGGGTCTGGTTTAAAAACCCCGAACAGTCCTTGGAATTAAGAATTCATTTTTGCAAAGTTGTGCATTGCTGTAGCTTTTCTGTAGCTTATCGTCTGGTATGATAGAAAGAAAATATTGTACCCTCCCAAGCGACATTGCATTTCATGTTTTTTTTTGCTGATTCAACTTTAAATAAAAATCTCCAATAAGATATTTTCTGTTTTCAGAGGACGTTTTAGGTGAGCTAGTTTCTGTAAAGCAGGTGCAGATCTTGCTCCAGTGAAACTCTGTTGGTCTGTCTTGCTGCCAGGTTGAAAACTGGTGTCCCCGCCTCCCTTGGAGAGCCAGGAACCCCAGTGAAGAGGCTGACAGGAAAGGGCAGGTGAGACGCCTTTGTGTTTGTGCTGAAGTACCAGCAGCCTACTTCGAATGGGCAGTAGACAGCACATCACTGATTCCAGCCTCTCCCCTTGGCTGAAGCGGCACTGATTGCATACCAAGAGCAATACAGGCCTGAGATGGACCTGCCATTCAGGGAAATTGTTAGCTGTCAGAGGGCTGTATATGTCAGCGTGTGAAATTGCACTTTCCACAGAAAGAGCAGACGGCTCTTAGTGCCCCTTTTTTTATGGTCTGCTTTTCAAGCGTCTTTCACAATGGTAAATCCCTTGGGTTTGGAAGGCAAATCGTAAAATTTAAACCTTAATTAAAGCGGCTCCCAGTCAACAATGTCAGACAATGGTTGATGTTTTCTGAAACGGATATCACTGCCTCTCCCAGGGCTGGTGTAATTAGTGCTGTAGAAAGGTGCTGCTGACTGATGTCAGATGGAGTGCCAGCATCTGCCACCTGAGCTTCCTGACATACTATCGCTCTGCTTTGTATGAGTCCTCTGCTCTGTAGATATGAATAATGCAATAAATATGAATGTGTGTGTGTGTATCTTCCCCTGAATTTCTGGGCAATGTCTTAATTCTTTTAGGGAGTTTTTCCTAGTATAAAATTTCAAAGACACTGTGTGAGACAATTCATGCTATTGATGTCTGTAGGTGTCAGACAATTAGCAATGATTTTCTATCATCAGGAAGGATGGGGATTTGATATTTGTGCATTCTTTTCCAATTATTTTGATGTTAATGAGTGCTTGCATTAGTCCTTCCCAATGAAAGCATGGTAATAGCTCTTGGAATGATTACCATATGAAAAACCGCTCATTTCAGAGCTGGCACCTGTAATTTGTTTTAGTAATGTCTAATATTCATAAGACTGCAGGGACCGGGGCTTTCTGTGAGTAAAGTCTCCAGAGGAACATGTGGCAGGACGGGGCTCTTGTGCTCTCCCCCGCAGACTGAAATCCGCACGGATTTCGAAGAGCTCTACAGAGTGATGTCCCGACGGGAGGAGTTTCGCTGGATGATGCTGAGGATAAAGCGGATGGCGGAGCCGTGGGTGGGAGCCATCAAGTCCCTGGCGGAGAAGCAGAACCTGGAGAAGCGGAAACGCAAAAAGGTTTGGCGTCCGCTGTCTGAATGACATCATCATCATCATCATCATCATCAGATCGACAGCTTTGATAACTGAGAGGAACTGGATTCTGAAGACATTTTCTAGATCCTGGTTAAAATGCCAGATCTGCTCAGGAGAGAGGCAGGGTGGGGCATGGTGGCCTCGCAATGCTGGGGCCAGTTGGGGTTCAGATCCAGACCCGGGGCGCTTGGGGGTGCATGTTGAGTTAATAAGACCAGCCGCAGGGTGACAAGCTAAAGCAGGACTGAGATATTAATAGGCAAACACATGGAGTGAGACGCTTAGATCCTGAAACTGTCACCAAGAGTATGGACACTGCTTGAAGTAATCTGTATTTTTATACGCTGCATCAATGTCTCAGAATAATTCATGGAAGAAATGAATATACCATTGGTTTGAACTACTCTTTGCTATCTGTGCCTGTTGCTGGTAGGAAAGAAGCCAAAACTGACACTTTTTCCTTTTTAAAGTAGAAAAGCCTTTCGTGATGTCCCAGCTGGAAAAGCAGTTGCTCCCGTCTCGCTCGAAGTTAGCTTTCATGTTGCTGCAGTAGACTCTCTCTTCGCCACACTTCAGTGCCCTGCGGGTAGGGCATGGATAAGGGCAGGAAGCCGGTGCTTTCGGATTCATGGCTTATGCTACCTTTGTCCTTGGGGAACGAATGCCTTCTAATAACTCAGAAAGATGATAAAATAGTTACAGCAATTTCTGTCACAGGTTCACTTTCAAGAGCGTGTGAATGTGTGTACTATATGTATCTGTGTGTTTAATTTTCTTCCAGATACTGGTCCATCTTGGCCTCCTGACAAAGGAATCAGGATTCAAAATTGCAGAGAATGCCTTCAGCGGAGGCCCCCTGGGCGAGCTGGTGCAGTGGAGTGACTTAATTACGACTCTGTATCTTCTGGGCCATGACATCAGGATTTCAGCCTCACTAGCTGAACTCAAAGAGTAAGAATATCGTTTCCACTTAATCCTCTGCACACACTAACTACAGAAGTCATTAAAGTGACAGTAGGGATAGAGGAATAAATCTGAAGGATTAAATAAATAAAAGAGTAGGCCCCATTTTTATTAAGTTGCTTAATGTAGCATTTCCATGTCACACAGTCAAACACAGAGCTGAACAATTGCTTGACACTGCAGGGTTTTATCTTTTTTCAGGAAAAAAGGTTTGTTCAGTGTTAGTCTGCACAGGTCCTTTATTTTGCTTTTCTTTCCAAAGCCTGGATTAATGACAGGCCTCTTGGGAGCAGAGCAGAGCCACAAATTAAATATCAAGACAGTGGTGTAAGATGATGTGCTGGAAAACCCGTCATGCTCCTGACATCCTGTCTGTGTGTGAACTGCTCTGGTTCTGCAGCCTGCAGTCACAGATGGCACTGATGTGAGTGAGTGCTCTCTACCCAAACTGCACTCACCTGGTACACCAACAGAAGCCAGTTTTTACAGTCAGTGCATCAACAACTTGATTTTCACAGCAAAAAAAAGCCTGGTTCCAACCCTTGACGTCACAGATGCATCTTTGTGTTATAGTTGGGATGAGGTGATTTTAAGCTTCATCTGCATCTTTATTCTGTCTACAGAATGGATTCAAATAATTGGCTGTTGCCTGTTTAAATAAATGAGTAATATCCAACAGCTCCAAATTATTATTTTGTATGTGAGCTGCAAGGTTCTTACATACCTTTTACATAGATAGTTTTAGGGGTTTTGTTTGCACCCAGTACTTTATAAAACAACTGTAAAGTGAAAGCTTTTCGAAACATGTCTTGGTTGGACTGGCTTTAATCTCTCCTAAAGAAAATGAAAGCAGAAACATCCAGTCTGTGAGTCGGTAACTTGCAGTAGCTTTACACCACCATGCTTCCCTTTTCTGTAACATGAAAATGCAAAAAGGCTTTTAGCTTTGTGGATCTGCAGAGGGGAACAAACAATTTTAAGAATGAGAACAAAGTGAATCCAGAAGTTTTTGGTTGGTGATATGTGATGAATTAGCTACTGCTGCTTTCCCCATTGGCTGTGCTAGGACGTTTACCTTGCTATGTTGAACCTTTAAAGGTTTTTAAATGACAAGATTTGGTTTCTTCCCATACAAACGAAGCTGAGTTTGTATGAGCTCAGTCAGAGATTTTCTAGTAGTCGATGCTCATAACATGAATAGATTTTAATTAATGTCTAAGACATCCAGGATGTTTGCATTATAAATGTGTGACTCACATCACCATGTTTTGTGCAGAAACCCCCCTTAATTGGTCAGTTTCTGCAAATTGCCACAGTAAAACTGAACCAAGCAAAGAGCAGAAGTCAATGAATTTTGCTGTGACAGGGTATCCTGTTGTTTTGGTGCCAAGGTACTGGTTTGATTTTACTCCAAGAACTATCCTGTTTCCTTCTTGGATGTCTGTGTCGTTTTCTTTCCACACCCTGTATATTTGAAAAGGCAAGGACAAAGAAGTTCTTAATGAGACTGTGCTTCACAAAAATGTTCTCAGAATCTCATGCTTTTCAGACAGGTATGCTTTAGGAATAATTACTTCCTTGTGAAAGAGAATACTTATGTGTTATTACTGTATATCCACAAGGATGTATCTCAAAAGGCTTTTGCATCTAAAGAGATGTTCAGTAGCAGTCATATTGTGACCTTACTTCCTATATTCATACATTATGCAAAGCCTGTTTTTTTACAGTTCTGTGCCATTCAAGTTTGTTTTCTTCCTGCACTTATGTATCTTCAGCTGTGCAATTTTCTTAGAAAAATACAAACCTACTGTTCAGGTTGAAAGCAGTGTCCTAGATGTCACCAGTTGAGGTCTGAGCTCTGTCACTGGGATTCTGCTGCTCAATGCAGTGGCCAGGCTCTGCTCGGCTCAGGTGGACTCATGTCAGACAAGGCACCCTTGCATCACTGTGAGCATGCGGAGTGGTGTTTGTGAGAACTGCATTTCTCCTCCAGTGGTGACTCTCCTGTAGTCACTGCAGAGCTTATGGCATGAAGCAGGTGGCTTGGACAGTGCAAAGGTCTGGGGAAAGTGTGCATGTTCTTTATCACCTCTCAGCTGGCGCAAACATTTTAATAGCAAAGCTTAAAATATTGCACAGAAGTTACTTTTGCTCACTTGCAAGAATGGATTAATATCCCTGATAACTTACATGTCTGAAAATGGAAAGAAATCCATTGTCAGTGTAATAGAGAGCAAGGAGTAGATTTTATTGGTGTACAAAAGCTGAGGCCTCTTTTTGGGAAAGGCAGAATGAGTAACAGTGTGAAGTCTCTCAGCCTTGAAGACTTAATGTTTCTTACCTTCCCTGCATGCACATGCAGATTTGTCCTTCGAGTCATCATTTCGTTTGCTTCCTTGTGCTCTTTTTCATGAGCATCTTGTGTTGTTCCCACTCCAGGATAATGAGGAAGGTGGTTGGCAACAAGTCTGGCTGTCCAACCCAAGGAGATAAAGTGGTGGAGCTGATTTACATCGACATCGTGGGGCTGACTCAGTTCAAGAAGACACTCGGACCATCCTGGGTGCACTACCAGTACGTTTCCAGCTTGTTTCTTTAAGAGTTGTGGAGTATAAATCAGGCTGCCGTGAGTGAAAGCCACAGCCCTGCTGCTGAAATGAATATCTGCGTGGTTGTTTCACAAAGTCTTTGAGTTCCAGGAGAACTTTGTCTGAAGTGTTTTTGATTATTTTATCCTTCAAGGTACCCCTCTTGGCGTTTCTTTTATCCTGCACCTCTTCTGTAGATTTGTAGAGACTTTTCAGTACTCCCTCTTCTCCTTTGTGTTTTGTAGTTGTTATTCTGCCTAGGTATGACATGTTTCATTACTGTGCCATCAACACCCAAATTTATTTTTGCATAACACCTGACTTCACCCAAGCACTGTCTGACTTGCCAAACTGCTTAGACGGTGCTATCAGTTGGGTGCATCACATTCTTTTACACCTGAATTCTTAACAAGACAAGAAGATGTGCTGATTGTCCTTATTAAGCCCGCAATAGTGTCAAGGCTTTGTTTATATTGATGGTGCTGGAAGCAGTCCGTGTGCTCAGGTCAGGAGTCTGGGTGTCACCTGTGTATTTGCATTTCAAGCTCATGTTCTGTGTGTTACAAAGATATCTTTTTTCAGCTTTGAATGTCGCTTCTGTCCATTCAGGTGTCCAGCCCTGATGTGCAAAATGCTAATGCATGCTTTTATCTGTTCCAGTCTTGATTATTGTAATGCAGTGCTCGCTGTTGTGTCTAAACATGTTCTAAAGTTGTGGCAGTTTCCAAAATAAGCTTCCTGAATCTTAATAAAACCAAAGTGCGTGAGCGGTGATCTCCTGTCTTAGTCTCCCTGAGGCTTTTGGGAAAAAAATCTGAATGCTGCTCACCTTCAAGGACTTGAGTGGTGTGTCTACTGAGTGTACCCGTGAACTGCTGATCTCCCCACACTGCATGCCGTTTGAGATCAGAAACTGACACATCTAGATATTACTTTACAAAATGTTTGTAAATTGAGTGAAACAACATCTGAGACTGATGTATGATGAACTGGTATTGGAATTAAAATGGCAGTCTTTGTTAATGCAGTGATCCCCTTACAATCCTGTTGTTGCAGGCCTCCAGACATCATTATGACTCTTGGCATCTGGTTTAAGAGAAATCGGTGGCCTGTTTCTCATTGTTATTTCATTTTCCTGAAACGTCAGTGGATGTATTCAATTTCTAACTATTGTGCATATGGTAGTTTATTTAGCTGCAAGATGTCAACAGCAGATTTATTACATTTTATTCAACCTCCACTGTCAAATATGTCCTCAGGTATTGCCTTAGGATTGTAGTATAATTGTTGTTTTTCTAGCTGTGCTAAAGACTTATTTTTAAAAAATGAATTTCTGGAATTTACTTTGAAGCTTAAAAAGCCATCTATGAAAATGTCATATTTATTTTGGAATCCATGGTAAAGCCCGTTACAAACAGAACAGAATTCTTTCATGAAATTAATGAAAGAAAAGAAGCATTGTTCATTCTGATCAATTTTTGTGCCTGAAGTTGGCTTTTCACATCGCCTTGGGTTCATGTTTCTACATGTTGGTAGACTGCGGATGAAATGATTTGAGACAATAAGGGTTTCATTCCCTGTCTAATGTGCCATGTGGAATGTTGAATGCATTATTCTGAGAATCAAAGCTGTCAGCTATGTTAGTCATTTTAAATATAATGAGACCAGCTGCAGTACTGCTCACTTCCCGTATTCTGAGATAGAAATCATATCCTCTAAACAAACATTGCCCCGAGGCCTTAATATACCTATTGAGAAATAAATAGAATGATGTCATATATTGATCTGACATTGTGAGTTGCAAAAGTACCCTTCCAGTGTCTGGCTGTGTGTTCACATGACCTTCAGATCATCTTAATTATGGAAGGTCAACTTAATTTTTAAATTACTCTGAATCAATGTTATACAGCTTTTACCAAGCAGCTGAGTAATAAAATGTAAATGATTAGATTACATGAAACCATTTCCTGGCAATACTGCTTTAGGTAAAAAGTTGGGACCGAAATATAGGATTAAAAATGCAGACAGGAAAGCAGGCTCAAATTTCCAATTGTTTTACACATGTACTGTACCATTACAAGAGCTTGTTTGACTTGTCATTACAAGTACATTGCCCATGCATGCCCAGCATTTTGTCTGAACGGGTTCGTGCAGTACTAAGGCTTAATGTGCCTGCCTTTCTTCTGAATCCACATTTCTCCGATTCTAATTATACTGAAGTGGAATTTAATCTAAACAAAATACAATTTTGTCATACAACAGAAAAACCAAGTGTGTGTTTTCCGCACTGCAACCATACACAGCGAATTCAGAATTGTTGTATGATGGAGATCTACCAGTTTTGGAGCACGTCTGGTTCGATCTGATTTGACATGCACTGAAAATTACTTTGAGGAATATTAAACAGTTAATCCTCTGTGTAGCCAGATGCAAATTACATTGTACCAAAGCCTATGAATACTTCATAGACACTTATGAACCTCTGATACTACCCCCAGAACGTTACAGTTCTTAAATACTGGGTGTTTGCCCTGTCATTTATAGGAGGTGTTGACATTGAATGCAAATTATTAACAACTCATCATTACTACAGGAACTTTGACACTCGATAGATGACATTTTCCGATGACAGGTGAAAAGGGATCCTGGATCCTGTTTTTCAGGATCTTTTAAGAACCAAAGGAGCTAAGAACAAAAAGAGCTTTTGTCTCGGTTTTCTGACATCATCCATGATAGGTTTTTGTTCACGCTAGTTTTGGCAGCATAATAATCATACAGCACACAGGAACAGGGTATATAACTGATATATATGATAAAACAGAGGACTCTAACCTTTGCTGATTGTCAAGTAATCATTGACCAGGAATTATTAATGTCTAAAAATTAGTAAAGGAAGAGTCGTTCACTTTCTCCAGCATAGGGATGGGCTTGGCAGGTTCCTGTCCTTTCTGTAGTAAACCAGCTGATTTTTAAATGGATTTTTTTCACTGTTTTTCTGATACCAGTAAATGTCTTGTTGCTAGAGTCCATAGCAGGTCAACCCTTTTACTCTTGGGCGGAGAGCCACAGTTACAAATTTGAAACTAAAAAAATGCATCAAATAAAATCGATACACTGGCTTGAGTCAAAGCCTCTTGACATCAGTACCCTAAAACTGACTCAGACGTGCTGTAGACTTTCTCTAGAAAATGAAACGATGAGCACCCTCTCCTGGAATTTGAAAACATTTTTTCTCTGTTTCTATTTTGTTTTGTTTTTCCCCAGAGTGATGATTTTTTTTCCAGTATGTGATACAGCAAGCCCTGAGAGTAACTTGCCTAATGCACAATATCTGACTGTTTTTGTTGTTGTTGTCATCTTGGGTTTTCTGTGGTTTAGGTGCATGCTCCGGGTGTTGGATTCCTTTGGCACCGAACCCGAGTTCAACCATGCGCACTACGCCCAGTCCAAGGGACATAAAACCCCCTGGGGGAAGTGGAACCTCAACCCCCAGCAGTTCAACACCATGTTCCGTGAGTTCATCTTTGCTACTCATGTGTCTGTAAGAGAGGTACTGCAGCCCTATGAAAATAATCTCTGGTTTGACATTTATTTTTCAGTCATGGAGCAGACAAAATACCCAAAGTCTCAGTTTCAGTGACCTACAAACACTGGTGGGTTGTAGTACCTTAATGGTTTGGATCATGTCAGTACCTCCTTTGTCTTTCAAAACAATTTGACGATGAAGTCCGGTGACTCACAGGTCCTAGCATTTGCAGGCCAGTAGGATCTCTGGATTATCATTCACCGTATTCTGGGTAATAACTTTCAGGGCTGTAGAGACTCCTAGAATCCACTTGAATAATCAAAATCTGCTGCCTGATTGTAAAAATAAAAGACACTGCAGTGACAAAACAAGAGAAAAATGTAGAGTAATGGTTTGTAACAATTGCTCTTGATCAGTTTTTTCCGATAGAAAAGCATTTGACATCATGTGATTCTGTTTTTCTTTTTCTTTACAGAACGTATTGATATTTTTTTTAATTAAGATTTCATGCTATGGTTCTTCCCAGTTGGTGTAATCTTGCTTTGGTGTAGCTGCTACTGACTTCCCCATTCATGAATTCACATGCTGCCTGGGGGGAAATGAGCAGGGAAAAGTGCCTCAGTTTCTCTTACGGTCTGTCCTTTGTGAATTTAAGAGGTGCTCAGGAATTAATTGTTCACAAACCACCCGTCATGGTCAGGAATCATTGTATTTGTTTGGTTTGTACAGTACTTGGTCTGAGTGTTAGGGAATAGAGGATCTTGATGTTTATTAGCATGTTTTACAGACATCGTTAACTTAATTACAGAGGAAAACAAATAACGCTTGTCTACTATTTGTTACCATTTTAATTGTTAATTAATGATTGGTAATTGCTTCCCTGCATCATGTAGAGGTGGTTATAAAGGAGACAACAAAGCGGACTTCTGAGAATATTCTTCCAGGGAACCATTCTCTGTGCATCGACATTCCTTTAGTTACTAGAATCCTAAACAGGTTTGCATATACTGTATGTGCGAAGGTGCTGTCAGGGGCAGAAGTGCTCATATGAATGGTAATGTGATTTCAGGCTGTAATAGTTGCTTCAGGGCACAGTTAAAGCCGATATGGCTGTCAGATGCAATGTCAGTGACTGCATCTTTTATCACGTCGGCTGGTTGTTTTCTTCACACCATTAGGGGAAAAGGACATGGAAATGATCATTTCCATCATTATCCTCCGGACCATCATCTAACAAGGTGACAACGTTTGGTACAGAGAAAACCCAGTACAAGCACAGCATCTATGCAGCCCAGAAAGTTACAAGATTTCTGAATTTATGGGTCTATACATATGCCAGATACCATGATGTAATTGATGAAACCCCGTTGATGAACAGTTCGAAACAGTCATGAAAAGCTCTTTTGTTTTCAGTCAAGTGAATTTCCATTGAGGAAAAAGTAACAATGAACTTTAGATGTGCAACCACAGAACAGAAGAGAAGGAGACGTTCAGGACTAGACAACACTGCGGGCGCTGTCGAGGGCTTGTGGATTGTGTGCTTCATAGAATTACTATCAAAGCGCTGGTGCAGATGTGACAGAGCTTTTATTACAGGCGGCCTGCATAATTGTGAGAGCATCTAGCAATCTCTGTGGAGCATGTGCAGCATAATCTTTTAGCAAGGTGGCAGTTTCATTAGCTCCCTGAGGAACCCTCTGCACACTTCAGTCACAAACTGGGGTCGCTGTCTTCTGACAGTCACTCATATCCCTGGAGGTTACTAGGCCCTGGTCTGTCACCTCAGTCTCAGGGCTGTTGACTCCTTCAACACAGCACCTGGCTTCGCTATCAGTGTCTCTGTTTTGACTGACTCAGTCTGCTTAGTTTTTTTATCCATATGCTATTCAGAAATGGAAGAAAGAAAGGTGCCTGAAATCAGGAGATTTGCATGGTGTTATGGTTACAGTTGAATGGAAGAATTTCACTGAACCAGCAGTGGAAAAGAGATTTTCCATACTGAGCTTCTTTGCCTAAAGTAACACTCTTCAGTACCTTTCCATACTCTTCATTAAAAAACAGACTTGCAGGGGTCCAGTTTCACTAAATCTTGGCATCTTGAGGTTTAAATTAAAGCCAACTTCACCTCTGTTGAAGCACTTAGTCTATGGTAATTAACATTGCTTAATGCGCTATAAGGAACAGAACAGTGATCATTACATGTGACCACGAGTAAGATTTTCCTCCCCTGTCTTCCAATAACTATATTGAACACTGCAATTCTTAAGTCTGGTGTTTATACCTGGCTGCTTTTGGTCTTGAAAAAGCACAACCAGCTGCTTCTATTTCAGCGTCAGTGTGTGAGAGATGGCACCACTGTACTGTATGTCAGAGCTCTCCGGTTTGCAGCAGCAAATTAAAAGCTGCATGTCCCCCAGGTTTGTAGCACAGGGCTTGGGGGTACTGGCTTGAGGTTGTCTTTTTCCCTCTTCCATCCCGGCAGATCTGTGAAGGGCAGCGATTAGCATGCTGCCCAGGGTGTGTATCATCTTGTCAGCACAGGCCCTCTGGGCTTCCTTTTAATTGTGGAGCCACTGATTGTTTCACTTTGTTTCCATACACACGATCTCCTCCACAGGACCAAGTGGAAATATTGAATTAAAATGTTAAAAAAAAACATCACTGAGAGAAGTGGTAGAAGTGGTATTTTCTGTGAAGGTGTTAATGAGCTTTTAAATTATATCTTTTGCATGATTGCTTATAGATAAACGTTTGGGTAAGTAAGCACTCCTGCTTATAACTTCTCTGCTTAATTGTTTGATTTCAAAATGCTATACATGCAGCGCATTTAAACAGGATGGGATGGGTTTTGTCAAGGTGAGAATCTCCCCCATGTTATTTGAAACATATGTCTTACTTTGCTCACTTTGCTCATGTCTGCTGCGGTGTCCAGTCTTCATGAGATACAGCAAGGCATCTTATGATGTATTTGAAACCAAATTTTCTAGGAACTTTCCAGAGCTTGGTGATGTTAACACAACAGTTAAATGATTTGATATAATAAAGCCACTGTAGATGGAAGTAAAGGTTAATTCCATGCTGAAAAGAGCAGAAAAAAAAACACAGAGTGTCTTTTCTCTTTTCAGCATGGAATAAACCTTTACTTGTTCCTTTGCAGTCTACGCATGCTGATGCAGCAGCCTACTTGAACCACTATAGATGTCATTCCTCAGCGCTACGGTGTTGAAATCTGACGTCAAGCACAATTTTTTTTATTTGGATCCTGTGTCCCTGTGGAATTCAGCTTGAGTTCTTTCCAGTTTGTACTCATACGAATTTACCATCCTGCATCTGATGATATGAAGTATAACTTTACTTACATGGTTAATCAAGATGATTGTTCTGTAGTTCCTCTGTTTAGGACTTTTCCTGTTCTTTCACAAATGGTCCCATATATTGAAGTTTTAAAGTCAGTGAGCTTTAACCCATTCACCCATGTTGATGAAAAGTTTACCAAGCTTCCTCAGGTGTTCAGTGATCTGCCCTGCTTCTACAGTTCCGGGAAATTCTTTAGGGTTGTGGTCCTCAACAGGTACCTGATTTCTGGTGCAGTATGACTGTGAGCAATTCAGAGGTGAGGACTGGCAATATGTCATTGGCACGGACATCACTGAGGTCTAGAGCTGAAGCTGACATTGTTGTTCCAGCTATGTGTAAGACCTCCATCTCTCCTGGACTCAGTCTTCTCAGTGCATGCTCGCAAACAGCTTTTCTAAACATCTGGAGACACTTACAGGCAACACTGCTCCGTCTTTCGGGCAGCTCTCTTTCAATCATGTTGTATATAATTTCAAAACACACTGTCTGATCATGAGCTTCCCTGGGTTCTCCGTGTTGTCTGCATGTGTTCTTCTTGGGTTTCAGAATTCATCTGCCTTTGACGAGTTGGAGGTTATTTTGAGTTTCTTTTCTCACCTCACTGTGGATCTCAGACAGGCTTGTCTTCTCGTGGCCTTCTGTAGCTTGGTCTGTATCTCTTTGTGTGGCTGTGTTTCTTGCCAGGGTATTCTGCAGGTTCTGTGCCTGCTGCCACTGTGGTTCTCTCTGCTACCTGGTAGTTCTGTGGTCAGCTCAGGATGTGACGAGCATGGGTGTTGATGAACTATATCTTTGTCTGACCCAGAATAAACCTAGACCAGTTTATTTATATTTTGAAACTCTGTGTTGGCAAAGCCAGCACTATTGGCAGCATTCTACCAGCCTAGTGCCATTCTCCTGTCTCAAGTATTTTGTCAGCTTGTTGTTGGGCTCTCAGGCTACACATTTTACATTTTATAATTCCTTTTTGATAATTTGTTTTTGATGCCTTATAATATGTGCTTGGTCAGACGTTTTTCATTTTAAACCAATTTTAATCATAAACGGAGCGTATTTTTTCCTTCTTTCAGAATGAAGGACAGTTCCTTTGTTCTGTTGTTTTGCTTCTGTGTGATATGAAGAAGTGATAGGAGCTGAGACTATCTGTGCCATGGGAAAGGGTTCTGTTGATCTAGAAGACTGGTGAACTTGGTGAGATGAGCAGTATGTATTATTTAGAACAGAATTGCATTTAAATGGCTTGAGTACACATGTGGGGCACGTGCTGTTAATGAGAATAGAGAAAGAGTCTTGTGTTCCATTTTAATTAAACTCAAATGTAATTCAGCCTTGTACTTTGATTAAACATTCCTGGTCCTTACTCACAGAAAAGATTATTGGTCTTGTTTTGTGGTTGTAGGAAATATCTCATGTGCTTCTAAAGCTTTAACTTAGAATATACTGTGAGTATTTACTTATTGACCTTTTATTTGGTGTCTCCTTCAGGTAAAAACAGCTCTTCACAAAGAAATGCCTTCAAATTGAAACCAGTGTTTAGATCTGTCAGGTTTGCAATTGTAGTATACGGATTTGTTAGGGATAATTATATGTAAACACTGAAGCACTGAAAAAAGGAGTTTAAAAACATTA